TACTTTTTAGGCCCCAGTGCTCTAGAAATTTCCTTTCAGTTTCCTTTTCTCATTTGCCATGCTGGAATTTTCTCATATAGCTGTCGTCCCTATAACTTGTTACAGTGCAATGGGGCCAATAAGAGTGGGAATTGCTTCTGATAATTAATACTTCCATCTGCCCTTCTCGGGTTCTGTCTTCACATTTTGTATAAGTGAGCAGCAGAGCTCTCTGCTCAGTTTGGCCCCTAGAATTCTAATAATCTGTGCTCTTTCTACCTCGTCCCATAACTCAGCCCAGGGAGATCCTCCTAAAGATCTTTGTTCGCTGAATTAAGAACAGGATTGTCTTTTTTTTAACCTATTGTTTTCCACTCCACTGAGGGGTGAAATTGTCAGAAGTAAAATTAGAAATTTACCAAGTGCAGTTTCTTAGCAGATAATTATTATTATTAGCAATAATGATGATAAGCTTCAAAAAATTTAACTCTATGAAATGGGCTGCCATAAAAAGGACTTGGAGTTTATGATCGATCTTCCACCGATTAGGAGGCTTTTTTGTGGACACCTGGTGACCGTATTTTGGCATAGGGTTCAGAGGGTGTCAGTTTGTCTGAGAGATTCTTCATCATGCTGGACTGAGTTTTTTACTCCTCTACATAAGCACATCTTCTGGTCAGCAATGTTAGGACAGCCTAAGTGTACTTCAGTTATCCTCAGCATTGTTGTATTCCTGGTGTCAGTTACAGGATCACGTGAGGCTTGTGGATGAGAACTCTCCATTGCTCAGTGAGTCATGCAATGCTACTCTCCTTAAGAGGGTCATCTGGGAAGAGATAGGCCTCTGGCAGAGAAGGGGTCCTGTGCTTCTCTTCTTTTAGCACTGTGCTCTCTTCTACATTCATTAGTCTCATGATAATTTATTTTCCTTACTCACTCCTACTGCTTCTGTTTCTTTTCCTGAGGTAATCCTTCCATCCATTGTAAACCCATCTCCTGCTCTGAAATACCGCAATGAAGGGAGGTTCTCCTGAAAACCATCCTTCTCTTTCACTTCCATCTTACCCTCTAGGCTTACATGGTTGGTGAGCAACTGGAGCTGAGAACAAAAAGCACATACATTCTAAAGTTCACAGGAATCATTTCCTTAGAGTTTATATCTCCTGGGGTCTCAAGTAGAACTCAAGCAGAACTTGAGCATTGAGAATGGATGTCTGAGTTGGAGTTCAAGATATCTTTCACCAGCCGAGGAACATTTGACTTTCTTTTCCTTCTCTTTCTAAGAGCGAAAAAATACCTACTTTACAGGTCTGCTGTTGAGAATTTAATAATTTATGCAAAATGCTTAGCACACTGCTTGGCACATAAAAATGCTCAATAATTTTTATCTATTGCTGACATAATTTGTAGCACACCTACTTTCAAAAAAATATGGAAAATATTGTTTGTCAGACTTTGTTGATGAAAATATATGCTTTTGCCAGCTTAATTTTTCTCTCTCCTTTGTTTCTTCACCCATCTTTCGATAAGATGCTTTTAAATGTCAATAATTCACACTAATTGGAACTAGTGTAATAAGCTATCTTTTGCATCAGCATTAGCAATCTGTGAACATGGCATTAAAAATCTACTTTTTTAGTTTGAAGGTCTGTGATGCTATAATGATAATTCTACGAAGAAGCTTTAGATATGGAATTCAACTTTTTAAAACTATCCTCAAGTAGGTGACCAATAATTTAAAAGAATTTTGTATATTTTAAGGTGACTAAAACTATGCAAATGAAATAGTCCTTTTCAAATATCTGTTCATTTCTATTTCTCCAATGCAGATATTTTCCATAGGAAGAAGTGATGCAAGAAAAATATGAACAAATATTAGGTATAAACTAGATTCTTGATCTTCCTTTATTTTCTAAATCAGATGGATGATGAAAAGCCTGGGTGGCTGAAAAATGGTAGAAAAAAAAATTAATCAAACCAAGTCATGCTTAATACCCACAACTTAATGGAGGCGACATAGAGTTTATTTTTCTTTATCCCTAAAAATTAAAATAATTTTGAACATTAAGAAACCATAATAAAAGTGAGAATTTTATCATTAAATCAGTGCTGGAGAGATAAATCATTGAGAAATTATGTGCCATTGTTTTGTCGTTGCTAGCCAAGTGAATGACTAACTCAAGCTGATTTCAGGAAGAAATTGTGTGTATTTGTGTGTGTCTCTGTGTGTGTGTGTGTACATACATACTAATACAGAACACATTGCTTATATTTTTGTAACTTATTTCAAAACAGCTAAAATGTACTAGATGAGAATAAACATTTTTTTCATAAGAGATAAGGTTACAACAGTCACTCCAAAAACTGTTTACCCTGGGGGAAAAAAGCACTAATATGAACTAAGAGTTGTTCAATACTTTTTAACCAAAATTTTGTCAGAACTCTATTAAAAACAATTCAGGAGCATAGTGCTCTAATTTCAACACTGGCACCATTAACTCAATATATTTATTAAATAGCCACTTACATATAATATCTAAACATAGTTTAGATAATATAATCAAAGAACAAAGCATTTTCTTTATTGATTTTGCAATCTATGACCACCTATTAATAAGAACATAGGAATCCACACATAGAAATAATAAAACTCCCATGATGAATTAATACAAATGATTTGCATTTTTATGTCTAGGATAATTACTCATTATTCGGACAGCTTTTTTATTCCAGCTGCTGTTTTATGAACCAGATTTATAACAGTGACCAAAACAGGCAAACATCTCTGTCTTTATGAAATTTACATTTTCCTTGGAGGAGGCAGACGATAAACAAAATATGAGGTATGTCAGCTAAGTACTTCAGAGAAAAAAAAGCAGAGGAGGGGCTAGATGTGGTATTGGGAGTCAGGGTCAGCCCCACTACAGAGGCAGCTCTGAGCCATGACCAGGTGAGAGAAGTGAGTGGTAGGGACCACGCAAGAGCATTCCAGGCAAAGAGACTGAAAGGTGGACACTTCCTGAGGAGGGGGCATGCCTGCTATGTTTGAGTAACTGGAAGGAAGACAGAATGGGTGGAGTAGATTGAGTGAGGGTAAGAATAGCATCAGATAGATAAAAGGGCTCAGATTAAGCAGAGTATTCCAAGCATTTGGGCAGGCACTGGCTTTATTCTAAGGGAGGTGGGTAGCCACTGGGAAGTTTTGAGAAGAGGTGTGTGTGATACGGCTTAGGGTTTGATAGGACTACTTTAGTTGCTCTGTCACATAATCCCATGGTCCTCAAACTAGGATATTGTATCACTAGGAACATGTGGTGGTATGCCTAGAGGTTCACAAAATTCCAGAACAAGTTAAGCACATCTTCTTTATGGGTAAAATTTACTTTAAGATTATGGGGAAAATAATTACTATGCTAGAAAAACATTTAAGCATTTTATAAATTACTGTAAAATTCCCATGATTTTAAAGTTAAATGTCAATGATATTTCTTGTTTGTGGCTCTCAGGCTTTAAAGTCATCGGAGTTTAAGCTTCAGAAGTGATTTGGTGGAAAATTTGGGAAAATATTATAATTTATGTGTGCTGAGAGTTTATAATAGTATCTTAAGATAGCACAGAAAACATGAGATAAAATAGTTGAATGTATACATTAAAATAATTTGACTGACCAAGTTACTTTTAATTATTTATTTGTGTAGTGTTAATAGCATATTTTCAAAACCATACAAATATATCTTAATGATATTGTATAATTGGAAGTAAGGTAAACTCTAAGGAATTGGGTTTGTTCTTATTTACTTATTAATTGACTCTGCATAAGTAACTGAAGCATGAGCTTTGGCTTTCTTATCGATTTAATAATGAGGACACAATTTCACACTGGTATAATGTATGCAGTAAAACTTTGGCAGGTAGAAAATGAAATAATGTATAAAGAATCCCAAAAAAGTATGACTTGCAATTGTATTTTTAATAAATAGATTCATCAACATTATGGCTTCTGGTGGACATGTATATAAGCATATTTTGGGGATAAAATATTACTTACCTATTTGTATATTAGATGCTATCAATTGTTCTTGCTAATCTAGCACTTTGAAAGTTAAATTTGTAACAACTCTTACAAAGACAATATTTCAGACCAGTTTAAGACACAGAACCCTCGAAGAGTTCTGAAACTGGTTTTCAGCACGACGGACAGCGCTACTGCAGTGGGGAATTAGAGCTAATTTAATACTTGCTCCCAATTTTAAATGGTATTATTAAAAATGGTAGGAAAAAATGCCTATTCTTCTACTTTAACATTTAAAAAATAAACCTGATTATTTTAACAATTTAATTGTGACTCTATTCCCCTGATAAAATAGATTTACACACTATGATGTACTATAATTATAAAATTTTATATAAAATTTAATGTGACATCTTTTGAAATGATTTATACAGCTTGGTTTGACTAAAGATTTTTAGGTTTGTTTTTTAGTCATTTAATTGTCCTGCATGAACTTTAACCTTTCAGCAATGCCCCCAAACAACAATAACAACATAATGTGTTGCAAGTTAACTTCTCTAGTAAAAAAATCTTATGTTTCTTTACAAGCAGATGTCCATTAACAATAAACTTGACAACTAAAACTATTTTGTATGAGGTACATGTTACTTTTTAGATGGTACATAAAGTTAAACAAATCTTAGGATAAGAATTAAATTTTTTATTATGCTATGAAAGCTTGCATTTAGTTTAAACATGAAGTAAATAAATTTAACTAAAAAGTAAAATTACAATTTTTAGTAATTCACATTATAATTCTTTTTAAGTGTCTAGCTTACAATTAATTAAGGTAGTTGATTTCAAATATAGTGGAATTGTGGGTTCTCCACCATTTAATTATACTAACTGCTACATTGCCACAGGAACTTGAATTAAAATGGTTCCGCTTTTGGCCAGGAGATGGAGCTGTCACGTAAGATGCTGCCTTGTATTTATTTATTTATTTATTTCAATTTAGCATGCTGTTTTCTAACAGACAGTGGGTACCATCGAGTGAGTGTCAGAACAGAAAGCTAAGACACAAACAGAGAGGATGCTGTGGTCATCCTTTCTTGTTTTTTCTTCTTTGGTGAGAATTGAACATATGTGAGATTTTTATTTTCTGTTCTAGTAAAAATTCTGAAGAATTGCACTGGAGACTATTATATTCAACACATACATGGATTCTGTGCTATGATTTACAATTCTCTTTATTTCAGGTAAGCCGGCATGATTCTATCTTTAATCTGTCAGTGAATGTTTATCTATGTTAATAACTATATTTAAAATAAGATATATGCTTTGTAAGCTTGTATTCAGATTTAAAGATTCAAAAGGTCTAATTCTAGCTGTTGTGCATTTTAAAATCTTCCTAGGCTGAAATGAGCTCTGACTATGGCATATTGTATTTTAATCTTTCTTTGGCTTGGTAGCCATTAGTGTCCATCTATGGCTGTTTTTTAAAGGTGCAGCTTTCAAAGTGAAGGATGGGTGTTTCTCCCACAAGGGAAATACTGCTCCTTAACGCAGTGAACAAATTGTAGAGATGTAATGAAGCAGATTAACATGGCAGTGGCCCTGCCACAGCCCAGGGCTGCGCCTTCTGATGGCAGCCTCAGAGGCATGCCAGCATCCTGAGCTCAAGGCCTTTTGAACAATTTCTGCTGGTTGTGATAGCACAAGTCGTTTATCCTTTTGTTTTTACCTTTTGGAAATAATATGTCATTTCTCCTACATGAACTAGATTTAAGTAATGTGTTTAATAGACTCGGAATTATAATGTAGACTCTCCTCCACCCCCCAGTATGGATGTGAGGAGTCAACCAAAACAAATTAATTGTTGTGAAAATAGGTTTTTCTTAGATTTTAGTGGATTTGTGGTGATAAGATGTGGCCATTTAAAATAGTTGATATTGTAGAAGATGCTCACATTTTAAATTATTTTAGGCCATGTGACATTAGCTCTTTAGCTGTGCTAAAGAGTAGAATGACTCAGGAGGTGGAAATTGCATGCAACAGACCTGCTTCTCTCTGCTGCTTCTTGTGCTTTCTCTGAAATCATATTTTATCATTATCAGGATAGTAGGAATCAAGATATATAGAAATCCTACATTTAAAAACCACTATTGTCATTTAGATGCATTTAAATAAATGCTTAAATATTTTTAAATGATTTTAGGAAGATTGTTTTTAAATACCTCACGCCCTCCTACTGTGAAACAGCTGTGTGTGTGTGTGTGTGAGAGAGAGAGAGAGAGAGAGATGGTGGAGGTGGCAGGAGGTGGGGATTCTTCAGGATGTTTTTATGTCATTCATTGTTTTCCTATAAAGAGGTAGTTGTGCTGTGTCAGAGGTTGTGAAGGCCAGGGGAAATTATTTTATTAAATGGTGTGGACAAACCAGGAAAAGAAAATCTGCTTTTTAAACAAGCGGAATCTATAGAGAGGTTTCACTTCCACCTAGTTCTATATACATAGAGCTTTTTAGAATAACAGATTTTAAAGCATGTATTCATATTATGATTTAAAGAAAAGCTACTGTGGATGACAGAGTAAGTGGATTTCCCAGAGTCACGTACTAAATTAAAATGAAGTCAGGCTGGAACACTGGTTGACAGTTTTCAATATCTTTCATAGCAATAACACAATTTACTTCATGTGAACATATCCAGATAGCATCTACCAGGTGTACTGATATTCAGTCGTGTGTGTGTGTGTGTGTGTGTGTGTGTGTGTGTGTGTGTGTAGTGTGTATCGGTAAATTTTGTAAGATAAGGCTTATTTTAATGTACAGGTTGCTCAATGGCGTATTATATTCAGTGTTCAATTTTCTTAAGGTTCTTGTTAAAACATCCAAGAAAACAAAGTTAACAAATGTGGAGACTCTCTGCTTCTTAGAATGCTTTTTTTTCACGATTAGATGAGTTATACTCTTCTATCCTATACTCATGATTGACATGGATGGCCAATACTAGCTCACAACACTCTTTTCCTGTAAATATAGATTAGTCTATTGACACATATAAGAATATCACCTCTTCCCTGGCTTCTCTCCCTTTCTCCCTCACTAGGCACAAGCAGTGCCCTATTTCTTCAATATCTTTCAGAAGAGCATTAAAGTATGTCACTTCTACATGTATTATTTACAGAATGTCATGTATCTCCAAAGAACTGTCCATGGTTGAGACTGAGAAATACACAATCACAGAGTATCTCAAGGAGTATAATATGGAAATAAATGTGTACAGATACTTCCCTAGCTCAAAATAAGGGATGAAGAAAGATGAGACAAGGAATGGGACAGTAATATGAACACCTATCTTGTGCCAGGCACTGTGTTACATCTTGGGATCCAGAATAAAACAATAGTGACAATTTTTCGCCACAAGGAGCTCGGGGAATAAGGTTTTAGGAGGATGTGATAGTTAAATTAGATCTTTAAGAGTAAATTGGAGGTGGAGCATGGTGGCTCACACCTGTAATCCCAGCCCTTTCAGAGGTCTAGGTGGAAGGATTGCTTGAGCTCAGGAGTTTGAGACCAGCCTGGACAACATGCTGGACTTTGTCTTTATAAAGAAAAAAAAAAATCAATAAATTAGCCAGGTGTGGTGGTGTGCACCTATAGTCCCAGTTACTCTGGAGACTGAGATGGAAGGATCACCTGGGCCCAGAAGCTCAAGACTACATGATAATGCCACTGCTCCCCTGCCTGCATGACAGAGTGAGACCCTGATTCAAAAAAGAAAAAAAAAAAGAGTGAATTGGATATAAATAAATACAGAAAGTTGCTTACTCCAGGCACACAGTTAAGATAAGCAAATACAAGAAAATGCTGAACTCTATAGTATTGTATAGAGGAAAATTACAAAGAATGGCAAATAATTGAATCTGATTGAAGCCTGTGTTGATGGTATTTTTCCTCTGGGTCAGCAAAATAATGAAAAATAATGAATTTGTCTTTCGAAGTTATGCATTTGACATACTGACACATGCTCACACATAGAGGTCTTCTGTAAGAAGCTGAACATTTTATGTCCATATATCAGATTAGAAGTTAAGACTGAATATATGAATCTGCATGAAGTTGTGGGCAAGAATTAGCATAAATGCACATCAATGGGGAATTGAAGATGAGTGGGGGCATAATCTTAAGTTTGGAGAGTAAAAAGAATCAAGAAAATATATTAGTTAATTGTGGACAAATAATGGGAGAATTTGGAAGAATAACAAACAATGTCATAGGAGGCAAAGCAGATAAAGACTAAAATAAGGATCAGCAACAATAGAAAACCCATAAAGGAGTTGAGTAATAGGAGAATAGGGTAAAACTGGTGGACTTAGTTATTATTATTAGGTAATGAATGAATTTTAAGAGAAGAGATTTATATCGGCAGAGACAGGAGCTCTGACTGACAACTAAATGGGAAATGATAAAAATCTAACAAGTATATTATTATCAGTGAAAAATAAAAGATAATATTTTATAGCTTGAGGAGGAAGGTACTGTGGAGAAATTTGATTTTAGTTAGTATTAGAGAAACATAAGCTCCTTTGTAGAGTGAGAAATTGAGGAAAGAAGAAACACAAATAAATAAATAAAGGTCTTAGAAAAGACAGGTGAAGAAAGGTTCAAGAATTGTTTTTTCTTTGAGATAGGAAGAAAGGGTGGGGGACAATATAGAGCAAAGCTGGTGTAACTCATTTTGGGTAGTCTGTTCTTGGAAATTAAAACCTTGTCTGTAAGATAAACCATCTCTTCTCTTAGATCAGTTGGTTCCTCAGAAAAGGCTATTTGTGCATATGGATTTTCTGAAAGAAATAATTAATCTTCAGTAGCAAAACACTTTCCTGCAGAACATACTTTAGTTACATTTATTTTTGAATTGGACACTAATATTGTTTCACATTAAGCTTACTGTACATACGTCGGTTATCTGTTTCTTATTCAGAATGAATGGTTTAAAAACAGGTTCTAGTTAAAATTTGCATTGGATTAGACCAACATATACCCACATATTATACATATCTACTTTGATTACTACAGATTGGCTTCCCAGCATCTAAGTTAATTATTCAAGCTCCTTCCTTCTTTAACTCCTTCAGTTTCATTAGTACTTTCACCAGGATTTGTGTAGAGAGGAAAAAAAAAAAAAGTCAATGCAAGGAGACTTCCTTTCCTTAAGGGAACTAACCTCCTTTATGAAGCTTTCTACTAGAAGTTTTTTTTTTTTTCCTGCCCTTTCTGTTGGGGTTCCAGAAGCCTCTTGAATCTTTCCTAGAGCCAGTCTCCTCTAGGCATTCTCTTGCATTCACTTGCCACATGGGAAGTCTTGAGGAAGGCCCAGGCATTGTGGAATTTTACATGCACTTTAATGACAACAATGAATAACATTGGCAATAGAATACTGACTACTGAAATGGTATCTGGATGTAGGGAAAGATAACCTACATCAAGAACCTGTGATGAACCTGTTATAAATGAAAAGTAAGAGCTGTTTGCTGATCTCCCAATAATATTTTCATGTTTAGGTAAATCTCCCCCTTAATGAATTTGGCTGAAATTGGAGGAGAATGGAAGCAGAGGTGGTGGTGGACTTTGCAAACCAGAAGTGTAATTTTTCTGGTAATATTCCATTAGACTTTTCAGTTAAGGACTTTATTTGGGAGAGGATGTAATTACTAACTACATTAATAATAAAGATAAATTTCAATAATGTAATATCTTTTTCTTTACTTGTGAAAAGTTTTACAGAAATGGTTTAAGAATCAAGAGTATTTTAATATATTTCATCTATCAGGATGTGTTAAAATAGTTTTGAGGATTAAAAAAACCATAATTTTAGCTAACTTTTTGTTTGAATTTGCTAAAAAATCTTGTAAAATAATCTTAGGAAGCAATCACTCTCAATAAGTGCTTTGAACTGTTTAAATTATTATAGTTTTTCATTATTAAGTCTTTTGTTGATATCTAGGATCAGTTTGGATTATAACATGCATTCAACACGAGCATGTCTTGGTGGCATCAGTGCATAAGTATGCAATTATGTGATTGTGTAATTATGCCCTGCTACATCTTGTGTTGGGTGATATGTGTGGGAGAGTGAAAACAGAATAGCAATATTTCTCAGAACCATAGATGAAGGATAGTGGATGGGTTGGAATATCACAAAAAAAGTAGAGGATCTTGGGATAAAATTATGATAAGAGAAGACTGACACTAT